ACATTTATATCAAAAAATGGAGCTAGGACAAGCCACCAAACTTGAATTTTAAAGTTATTTATTTTTCCAAAGCTTCCATAGGTAAGCTTATTTAAAAAAAAATGTGGCCCTAATTGGAGTAAGTTAAGTAGTTCACTATAAAAAAATATAAGAAACATGCCATCGTTTTACACCATGATTCTCAACGTAGACACGTAAAATTAGCGCCTGGGATATTCACCCAAATATTTTTATTCGTCGTATCGAAATCATACAAATTTTTTTACATATTCTTGAGAAAAATGCTTATAACAATGTTTATAGGTCACCCTATAATTTAGATAGTATCAAATTGAGGGTAAAAACGCATCTTATCTATCTTTAATGTATGCTATTAAGGCGCTAGACCAATTTGGATGGCCGTAAAATTTGTTATTACGCACATTAATCTACTAAACTGTTTGTATTAAAATATTGATAAGACTAGCTTGTCAAACATTAAAAAAATATTAATAATTCCTTTATGCTTAGGCAATGTCTCACTGTCTATATTTTTTTTCTGGAGGGTTAGTCATCCAATGACTTCTCCCGCCCGGGTGAAGAGCGACAGGGTGTGTCAGAATCTTACTGACTAAAAACCACTCCGTTTCTACTCCTGCACTTCGAAGCCCTAGCAACCCGTTAAGTCTTCCCACTAAGGCTCCGTTTAGGCATCAGCCCTGGTTGTGATTGCCATTGTAGAATAATTTTACATATTTAAACTTTCAATCGAGTAAAATATTGTGGGATGTTTAATTATTTTTTCTTTAATATTATTATGTATGTATAGTATTACATGTGTATTTTACAAAATAATGTAATCTTCTATTAGTACTACAATCTGTATAATTATAAAGGTACAGCTGTTACACGTACTATAAAATAGCATGTTAAAAGATGTTCAATTGAACATGCTCAAATATGTTCAAATATCGAACACCTGTCGATTCACTGTTTGTGAATCAACTGGCGTTCGATTTTTGAACTGAAATGTGCATGCTAATTTTGAGAAACATTCCGAAATACTACTAAGTGACAGTGCTCAATTGGTACTGGCCATTTAGTCAAATTCAATACTTTTTCTAACCGTCAAAACACGACAGTTTCCTATGAATTTTGTATGAGATTGTGTATTGTGACGTCAAATTTTTTTAGCGTCAAACGGCATATTTTCCTCTTAGACATTTGCTGGAAAAATACTAAAATTAACTTAGGCATAAAATCAATTTTAATAAAAGTGTGATTATTTTTTTTTATATTTTATTGTATTGAATAGTCGAAATATTTTATATTTGAATGAAAGCGTGTTTTTGTGATTGAAATTAGCATTACATGTGTTACAGTACCATAAAATTGCAGAATTTGGCTAGCAAAGAATTCAGAAGAAAATATAAATGTAATCCCACACGATAAAGCCATAAATAAAACTAGAGTTATTTGAACAATATTAAAAGGATTCTACATAACTTAAGTATAAGCCGCAGCTTTACCGCAAGTTAACGTTCTTGACCGTAAAGGTCTGAAGGTTAACTTACTCGTAACGCATACGAAGGTCGCAGCTTCGAGTCCCGGCGGAGATGTTTATGAAATTGTATTGGTCTCGTTATGAGTCCGTGGGACATTGACTGTGTATGTGAAATAAAGTGTAAAGATTTTGGCTACATTTGTAAAGAAAATAAAATATTAGCATTTTTAAGAAAAATAGTCAAAAACTACGTTTAACAACAAATCGCGGGTTACTCACGTGAATATACTGAGAAAAGCTCTACTAGTTTCGCGGTCACGGCGATGTCACGCAGCCTACTGACATCGCCGTGACCGCAGACGCTGCTCATAAAGAAGAACCCTGCTTTGGTTCGAAACTAGAAGAGCTTTTCTAAGTATATTCACGTGAGTAACTCGCGATTTTTAGTTAATTTAATATGTCTCACGATAGTTATTATAAAAAAGCTACGGTTCTTGGTATAGGACTCAAACAATTTATTTAACAAGTAAAAAGACTTGTCTGTCCAAGAAAACTCACGTCTATTTTATACATCTTATTTTTAGGAATCATTTCAAAGGCACCATAGGTTCTAATGATGATTCAGAATTGCATTAATTTTCAGTCGCAACAAATAGATCAATAGTGAAATATTGTTTTCTATATATATTTTTTTTTTTCTTAAAGAATGCGGTGCTCGCCTGTAATTGATTGTAACATTTTACTGTTATCTTAATTAAATGTTTGTTATTTAATGTAAGAATGTATACAATTGTTGGTGGGCCAATAAAGATAAATAAAAAAAAAATATACTTCAAAAATAAATGAACTGACTATTCTTAGAAGATATAGTGATATATACATTACTACATGAATATTTACAACTTAAAATTAACTACAACTAAACTATTAAATAAAACGAAAGTAAATCTTATCAGTACCTTCACATTTAATTTCTCTTTCCAGGTATCCATGCAGTTTCACAAATAGGACGATTTATGAAAATCCAAGATGGTGGTTGTTAGCAAGCAGTTGTTTGACGCAGTGTGCCGTGATGCCCATTGCAGTCTCATGACCCACCCCTGGAACGAAAGCTGTATCAAAGCATGTCCAGGGTTATACAAAGATGCTATTATTGGCAGTGCCAAGTTCTACTCTATTATTTACCTTGTAAGTATCAAAATTTACATCTGAAGCTGCAAAAATGATATATTTCTTATTATATGATAAATAATTGCGACTGCCTCGTTGGCCGAGTGGTCGCAAGTGCGACTGTCGGGCAAGGGGTCTCGGGTTCGATTCCCGGGTCGGGCAAAGTATTACTGGTTTTTTTTATTCTCAGTAGTAGCACGGAGTCTGGAATTGTGGCCGGTAAATGGTAATAGGCTCACCCTCTAATACATGGGACTTGTAACATAAATATTGCAAAGTGAGTGTTACATTGTACAGTGGCATAATGTGCACCTCTGTCTATCCCCTGGGATCCGTCAAGACATAACATCACGCCTTATATCCATAAGGCGTGATTCTAGTTCTGTGTATAAATGTTCATCAACAAGCTATTACAGTACCCTGCTAGACTATAGGACGAATTTAAATAACAGCATTCACCGTTATCTCTTAAGTTAGGCAGGCAGAACAATTTTTAAATCTTGGATGTAAATAGGCTATTCAACTAATATATTTTCCAGGCACAAATCTTGATGCGAGGAAAGAAAATGATGAAAAAAGAACAATGGATCAAGATGGGAGAATATTACGTGAGGTCCACCATGTTAGGATTTATGGTCACATCTGTGGGCCCCAACATTAGTTGTTTAATTAGGTAAGGTATGTTGACGTTTTCTATTGAACATTTTCTAAAGCTCAATCCTGTATGATGTTAATATTCAACCGAATTTAAAAAAAAAGGAGGTTCTGTTTGACCAGTATGTTTGCTCGATTATCTTGCAATTGGATGAACCGATTTAAATGCGGTTTTCAGAAAAGTGTTTTTTACATGTAGGAGGGGCGATAATGTTTAAATATTTTTTTTTATATTTGATGGGACGACGTTCGGCCACTGTCTCGCCCGTGGTAAGCGATGATGCGGTCTACGATGGAGAACGTCGTCCCATCAACAACCTATTCACTCGGGCCTTGAAGACTCCTAGGTTATAAACAGGAAATACAGACTCTGGCAATGAATTCCACTCTTTAGCGGTACGCACAAGGAAGCTCGTGGAACATCTACCATGAATGATGATGATAATGATGCTTCGCCGATTGACTTGTGGTACGATGATGGAAAGGACTAGGGGGAATCAAGTTGTGCAATTCCCCCAAAATAACTTAAAAAAAGAGGGTTTTGAAGTCTGTTTTTTAAACGTAGTTTATCAATGATTATTTTTGTGCCTTTACTACTGTAACTATGAACTGTTCATAAGACAATGCGTGTTCAGAAAAAGAATAAGACATTAGTCTTAAATTAATGAAAACACATTCAATGTTTTTACCATTCTAGTGAAGGATTTGCCTTCAGCTATTTTTGTCTTTTACTGTGAAGTAAAGTGAGTGTTGGAAAGAATATGTACATATCAAAAGTCCACTGCCACCGTAAGCTACTAACGGTTGCGCTGCAGCGCTTATTTTATCCGTGTGCGTATGCGTGCGTGTATTTATGCGTACGCACGCGTTTTTATGCACATTAATATGAAATTAGTCAACATCGCTGGCAGTGGACTTTTGACCTTTTACTGTATAACTGACACCTTTAACTACGATCATAGCAAGTAACACCAATATTCAATTGTTCCAGAAAAATGTTAGGGGATCAATTCTATTCTTCAACGTACCTGTTCATACCTTTTGGTGTGTGTGGACTCTTCATTTACTTGGAGCCACCTAGCAGAAGAGGGCTGGTTATTAATCTGTTTTGTAACTTGGTAAGTGGATTAAGTTATGACTTCAGAAGTCAATGTCATCCCTTAGATAATATGGAACTAAATATAACTTTAATGTATTGACTTCAATGATATGGTATAATGAACCCCTTACCCTATATTTAACTATGTAATTAGAAAACAACCAATTTGCAAACCGCTATTAGTGTTTCTATAATAACTCTTGAGACATGCTGATTTAACTAAAATTTACGAATTCTTCACGTAAATACTGAGAAAAGTTCTACTAGTTTCGAGTCACGGAGGGACTTTTCCTCATGAGCAGCGCGCGGTCGCGGCGATGTCGCTTAGTCTACTCTATTAGCGTTTTTGGTGATTAAGTTAGTCCTTGTATTCTTTCGCAGACTATTATTTCTTCGATAAAATTTTGTGAATTTTAAAACCAGAACTCTGTCCAAATAAAAATATCAATATTAACTATAGCGACAACATATTTATATTAAAAATAGACGTGAGAATCTTTCATGGAGAAAAATATATGATATTTCCTCGAACGTTATGCTCTTGTTCACGGTCCAAGAGACATCAAGTCATGTATGTAGAATCGTCAGAAATGTTCAAAGATGTCCACCTGACACGTGTACTAAGCTTTGTTGGAAGACGTTTTAACTATATATCTATGTAAATATGTGTAACGTTGTTTATATTAAAATTACATATATAAAAGTTAGGTAGGTAGATGCGAAGTTTCGTTAGACTTTTTCTTTATCATTTAGTCTTAGTTAATATCTTTATCTTTAATCTTGTAACTAATGTTCCTATATAACTAACTTAACAATTCATCAAATTCCAGCTAATCGAGTACTATATAAAAGTTTTGGAACGAGCTGGATTTCCGACTGTAACGAGAACACATCAGACGCTGATGTTCATGTTGGGCAGTTCCTTATTGTTCTACCTCATGAGGCTAGAAGGAGACAAGAAGGAGAGGACTCCCTTGTTTTGGTAAGATAGTCAGATTTTCAGCTTTATTGTAATCTGTATGATTTATCATAATTAAGTCTCCCCAGACAGTCCACTACTGCGTACTTACGTAAACGCTTAAATAACAGTTGACAACTGATCAATACGCAAGCATTCGCCGGTGACCTCAGTGACTTCATTATAGACCTTATTATCGATGTTTACAGACTATTTTTGTATGAACAAATTTTGGGGATTTTCGGTACAAGATATAAAAAAAGATTCAGGTTTACCAGAAAGCCCTACTGTGCGGTTCCTGATACATGTGTGGATTTGTATTTGGCTCTTACGATAGTCGTAGGGAGACTACACACATACTTCTACTAGTATAGTATGATTTCACCGCTTGGCTCATAGTATGTAACTATATTTATGAACACTATTAATAGTGTAGTACTTAGAAAATACACGTGTATGTCATAAAAAGTGTTTAAAAAATAAGTAATTGTTTTTAATATTACCTGTGGGTCACGGTTTGTTTATTGGTACCGAAGTTAGTCTAATTTTATTCATTGAAAGAAATTTATGTGGTTGTAATGCAGGTGGAATACGGCAAAATATTGGTTTATTAAAAAAAGGGCAAACGAGTAACAATTTATAACAATGCCGGAAGACGGAAGGAGTGGTACAGAGGCACCACCAAATATTAACAGAGCAAACTAAAATGGGTTACGTTCCATTTCTCTAACATTTTGTAATATTTTAGAAAGGCCCAATAATCCCCTCTCCACCATCCTGAGTCCCCAACAATCCTCAAATTCCTAATAATCCCCAAAAGGCCGGTAATGCACTTGTAACACCTCTGGTGTTTTGGGTGTCCATGGGCGGTGCTTACCATCAGGTAACCCGTCTGCTCGTTTACAAAAAAATTATTATTCGCACAAAATATTTCAAAGATAAAACATAAAACAGAAGCAAAACAATTCCTAATAGACTGACATAAATGTACATACAACAATATACGCATAACTTTACGGCTGGCTATAATTTTATATAATAGCCTGATGACCGATGGTAGATAGAAAACAATGAATGCATTGACAACAATGTCATACTTGTTTGAATAAACATTGCTATCACAGTTCGTTGGCACTATATCTAATCAGTGTCAGCGTCCGGTCCTTCCTGTGTCAAAGTCCGTATTACAGGTGTTGCGGTGAACTCCTTTGTGGGCTTTGTATTGCACGTTGCGAACTAAATAATAATTATGTCGACTCTCCAAGTCTGTCTTCATTTATTTAGTCTTACGACCTGTTTCACCACCTCCATATAAGTATCCGATAATCTTATGTATCAGATAGTTCATACTAATTACTTTCTTAATTCAAATTTATCTGGTTCATTTTTTTATGGCATAAGCCGGTAAACGAGCAGATGGATCGCCTGATGGTAAGCAATCGGCGTCACCCATGGACACCTAGAACACCAGAGGCGTTACAAGTGCGTCACCGGCTTTTTGGGGATTAGGAGTTTGAGGTTTTTGGGGATTCAGAGATTGGGGAGATTGGGGAAGGGGAAGGTAATTGGGCCTTCGGTAACCTCACTCATACGACGACACACAACACAAGCGTTGCTTCACGTCGGTTTTCTGTGAGGCCGTGGTATCATTCCGGTCGAGCCGGCCCATTCGTGCCGAAGCATGGCTCTCCCACACTTATTATAGAGGTATATAGCGGCTATTCAATTCATTTTGCAACAGACCCTTAGTACAATAACGCATGTACAGGTGAACTTAATGCCTAGGGTATTGTCTTACAGACAGTATATTTAGGTTATAATTAATCATTTATCATTACCTAGCTTTTGCCTTCTACCTGCAGTTTGAAAAATATTAAAAATTGCACTACAATAACCAACTAGCCCCGAAGCCATCATAACAAAGTAAGAAGTCAAAGAATCAAGCTTCAAATACTATAAAAACAAAATGAAATGAACTGACAGTTAAAAATACCGTTAAAAAAAATTCACAATATTATTAACTCAACAGAAAACCTTTTAAAAAATATGATCCCATAAATAGAAATCTGCTGAAAGTATTTTTAAACAGAGAATCCTATTGTTTTTATAAATTCCAATATTTCACTCACTAGACTTTCATAGTTTACGTGCAATGTTCACATATTTTTTGAGATTTATACGTTTTGTTTCCTGTGAAGTGGCAGCACTATAGCTTTTCATCTGTTTTGTTTTGAATAAATAGTTACGGTATTATGTATTGTGAATAATAAATATTTATATTTTTTTTTGACAAAAGATCTAGATAATGATGTTAACAATTATTATAATTTATGTTTATTTTGCATCTATAATGGGAACTTATGGGAATAGCAGAAAATATGAAAATACTTCACATACATAAAGTCACGCCTTTTAATCTCCAAAGGGGTCATACATACATGCAAGTGTGGGAGAGCCATGTTTCGGCACGAATGGGCCCGCTCGACCGGAGTGATACCACGGCCTCACAGAAAACCGACGTGAAGCTACGCTTGCGTTGTGTTTCGTCGTGTGAGTGACCGGAGGCCCAATTACCCTCCCCTCCCCCAATCCCCCCAATTCCTGAATCCCTAACAATCCTCAAACTCCTAATCCCCAAAAGGCCGGTAACGTACTTGTAACGCCTCTGGTGTTCCGAGTGTCCATGAGCGACGCTGATTGCTTACCATCAGGTGATCCGCCTGCTCGTTAAATGGCTTATGCCATAAAAAAAACAATTTGACACCCATTGCACTTGTCGGAAGTGCTACTACCGAGCGAGAGGTTCCAGATATTCGACCAACGGGGAAGTTTTAGAGAATATTCAGATATAATAGAAAAATATATTTTGACTACCAATTTGAAGCTTAGAAAGTAATTTAATACGTAAATATAAGTTGTAGTAAAATGTAATTTTCTTTTTACTAAGTATAAGTAACTATTAACAAACCACGTCTTATTCAATTCGGTTTTTGTATGTTTCAGGCTATTTACTCCAGAAAAAGTAAAAAGAAAAACAACCGAATCGGATAGTCCTTGTCCGCATAAAGGGATATGTGAAAAATATGTTGCAAAAGTAAGTTATAAAGTAGTTGTAGGTATGATTGTTTGTTTTATTTGAATTAATTGTTTTTTTTTTGTGGGAACAGACCCAAGATTAGGCTAAACCTGACTGACTCAGACAATATTATCTTTTTCTTGGAATTGCCCCATTTTCCTGTCCATTAATAGATTTGGCTGAGTATTCATATTTTACGTGAAGCTTCTGCCATTATTTTGCCTACATCATTTTGGATAAATCCTTTGTCAATTTTTTTACGTTTCTAAGTAGATACAATACAGAAATCAGTAGTAATATCTAAACTATAAATACTTTTTCTTTTGCAGGGTTTTGCCACATATTTTGGAGTAGGTCTCGGTATATCTTTAGCGAGACTGATCATACCAAAAATTTCAACTCCAATAAAGGCGATATCTTCGATTAGAAGTAAACACTTCAAGTTAGCAATGTTCTTCGGCAGTTATATCGGTATTTACAGAGTACGGCTAATTTAGTTTGTATAATATTTGTATAATAATTAATCTAATAAGATAATGCATATGAATGGATGTATAAAATTTATTCCATACTAGCTGTGCCCGCGACTTCGTTCGCGTAGAATAGTGACTATGAGCAGCGTTTTTTTTTTAAATATATACTTATTCTTATTTTAGATTTGGATCATAATCACAGTCATTTTGGGTAGCTAAAAAACCTACTTTACTGTAATGCTTCTCTATATACAATATTAGACGTATGGCCATCGGGGGTGAAAGCATACAGGCTGCTGGGATTGCTAACACGGGACAGAGCCACATACAATTGACCGTGCGAAAAACAGCTGATACTTAGATCTATACCCACAACTTTTAGAGTCTGACCTTGAGCTTTATTAATTGTCATGGCGAAACATAGGCTCACTGGAAACTGAATTCGTTTAAAATTAAACGGAAAATTTTTTGGAGTGAGAGGAATCTGAGGAATAAAACCACTATCACCTTTTCCGCACCCTGTTAAATATATATATAATTATAAGCCATTTCTGAGATTAGCGTGAACAGACAAACAGACAAACAGACAAAAAAAAAGTTAGTTACATTTTTGGGTTCGACATCGACATAACAATAGCCCCTGCTATTTTTTTTATTTTTATTTTCAATGTACAGACAGCACTTTTCTACAATTTTATTATATGTATAGATAGATAGATAGATAGATAGTGTTCGACGTGATTCTTTAATTTGACGTAACTTTTTTATTTATGAACCGATTGACATGAAACAAACACTAAAGCATAACTGAAGCATACCACAATATATTCGTGAAAACCGCATCCAACTCGGATAAGCCGTTTCTGAGATTAGCGTGAACAGACAAACAGACAAACAGACAAAAAAAAAGTTAGTTACATTTTTGGGTTCGACATCGACATAACAATAGCCCCTGCTATTTTTTTTATTTTTATTTTCAATGTACAGACAGCACTTTTCTACAATTTTATTATATGTATAGATAGATAGATAGATAGTGTTCGACGTGATTCTTTAATTTGACGTAACTTTTTTATTTATGAACCGATTGACATGAAACAAACACTAAAGCATAACTGAAGCATACCACAATATATTCGTGAAAACCGCATCCAACTCGGATAAGCCGTTTCTGAGATTAGCGTGAACAGACAAACAGACAAACAGACAAAAAAAAAGTTAGTTACATTTTTGGGTTCGACATCGACATAACAATAGCCCCTGCTATTTTTTTTATTTTTATTTTCAATGTACAGACAGCACTTTTCTACAATTTTATTATATGTATAGATAGATAGATAGATAGAGTTCGACGTGATTCTTTAATTTGACGTAACTTTTTTATTTATGAACCGATTGACATGAAACAAACACTAAAGCATAACTGAAGCATACCACAATATATTCGTGAAAACCGCATCCAACTCGGATAAGCCGTTTCTGAGATTAGCGTGAACAGACAAACAGACAAACAGACAAAAAAAAAGTTAGTTACATTTTTGGGTTCGACATCGACATAACAATAGCCCCTGCTATTTTTTTTATTTTTATTTTCAATGTACAGACAGTACTTTTCTACAATTTTATTATATGTATAGATTATCCCATAATTATATTATATTCTGGGTTGACCATAGTTGATGAATCCCCGGTCACCGGTGACCGCTCTCCATTAACTACATTATAGACCACATTTCTGATGTTTAGAGACTTTTTTTTTTTTTTAAGGGGGGAAAATCATCGAATGACTGCTCCCGCCTGGGTGAGGCGGGAGGGAGTGTCAGACTCTTACTGACTAAAAACCACCCCGTTCCTCTCCTGCACGTCGAGCCGGAGCCCCGGTTACCCGTTTAGGTTCTCCGCGACATGTTTAGAGACTACTTTTGTATGAACGATTTTGGGGTACGATATTTCAACAGGATTCCCTCCACTACTGGACTATAGGCCTCGTCTACATAAGAAATCCAATACTTAAATAACCCGTAGATGTAATTATGATGGTAGAAAATTAGATTATTTAGAAAAAAAGAATAAGTGATCCAATCCTTATTTTGCACCACAGATTTGTCTTCTAACCTAACTTAACTATACAGTGATGAAATGTAAACGTCCACGTCTACCTCTGTCTACCCCTAAAGGGAAAAATACGTGTGTTGTTATATAACGCTGGTTATCGACGTCACAGGAGCCAGTGGAGTGGAACAGTGTGGACGCCGGTTAGAGTCAACTGCATACGTTGTGCTTTCGTTCCAACCTTCGCCCCACTAACCACTTTGATCAAAAATTCAGACTGATTAAAACCCTCCACAGAAAGGATTTAAATGTCCAATGTTTTGGGTTCTGATGGCGAAGATGTTGTTCACTGTCATGAAGCTGATACATTGACCTCTTGTGTATTCATACTATGTTATTAGGGACTGATTTACGCCGTGAGCTGTAAAAGTCCCTAAAATATAATGAAATACAAAAAAAAATGTCCAATGATACCTATAGGTAGTTGATAATACTAATTATGATCAACTTGCATGGCAGTGTTTCATTGGAATCAAGGAGTACTAACTCTTGCTTTCAGAACGAAATCTGCTTTTATTTACCCTAAACTAAAACATATCATGTCATAACATCATGCGTTTTAATCCCCTAAGGGAAAGCAGAGGTGCATATTCTCAAATTGGATGCTATATTAAAAATAGTATGTAACACTCCAGTTCTGTTACTATGAATCCATTTTAATACAAGATGAACCTAATATTAACTTTATTAAACATGTCAATAATTATAATTTTGCTTTACATTGCAGGCAGTGGTATGCTACTTGTGTCGTAAGCAAGGATTCGACTCGGCATTGTACGCGTTACCAGCTGGTTATGCCGCGGGAATATCATTTTTATTCAACCCTAGTTTAGGGTTGTCTATAGCGTCATTGACTGCAGCGTTTAAGGTATGTTGTGTGGTATTTTGTTGCGCTTGGGTTAACTTAAGCATTAACATTTGGTGCTTACCAAAAAACCCAAACATGGCAGTTAAGTGCTTGTAATATAATTACAGGATAATACCATATCGTGCTTTGAGTTCCAACCCTGAGTTGGATAATGTTGCCATGGCTAATTTCGAAATAGAAAATTTCAATTTCAATTACAAAAATATCTCCTTATTTATCATGACGTCCAAGTATTCAAAGGCGACTCAATTCTATGTCGCACTTAAGTATAGTTTTAAGTGTGGGAGAGTCATGCTTCGGCAAGAATGGGCCGGCTCGACCGGAGTAATACCACGGCCTCACAGAAGACCGACGTTAAACAACGCTTGCGTTGCCCAATTACCCCTCCTCTCCTTTCCCGATTCCCGAATCCCCAACAATCCTCAAATTCCGAAAAGGCCGGTAACGCACTTGTAACGCTTTTGGTGGTCATGTGCGATGCCGATAGCTTACCATCAGGTGATCCGTCTGCTCGTTTACCGGCTTATCCCATAAAAAAAATATATCTGTCTCTATAAATTCTTTGTCAAATGACAGAGACGGCACGATATTTAAGTACACTTAAAATTGAGTAGCCTTTCAGTATTCGGGCGTCAGTCTCTCATTTTTTGTTATTTCTTCATCTCAGTATTGATTTTTCTTTCCAGTTGTATTCAACAATTTTATACGAGAAGAAAATCTTGCCATCAAACATACCTCTACCGGAGTTGTTATACTGCTTTTGCCAAGGAACACTATTCAATGCTCGCATCGTGGATCCTGATGCATGCCCCAGCTACGTGTTCAATCTTATGAAGTCTTGCAGTAATGGAAGGTTCGTATTTACCTTTTTATAATGTTTTAAGGTTGATTATCGTGTGATTTTCAGTGGGTATTGTACGTTGAAGAGAAAATATAAAGTTTGATGTAAATATTTGATAAGTAATTAAAATCTCATCTTTCACTTGGAAAGATGATAAAAAAACCGTAACGTGTATTACCTGAGATATTTTTTAACATTCCTGATAGGCCTAGTCTGAATATAATATAGTGACTGTAAATTAATTCCTCAAAAAAATGTAGGTACAAAACAAAATAAAATTAAAGAAGAATAATATATAACTCACAACACGAAGAGAGACCCTTTATACCGAAACTAAAAAAATATTAATTTCTGAGTAGCCATTTTTATTTCTTTAGAATAAGGTACTTTACATAGCCACCCATCATACTATGATTTATGAAGACAGCTTATAGAAAGAGCTCGGCAGTGACCGATCACATTTTAATTCACTGATTATTTCTTGTTTTTATTCTTTTGTTTTCTCTTTTTATCGATAAAGAGCCTTAAGTCGTTAGCATAAAACCTTTCGATAATTTATTTAATGGGGTTTAGCTTTTTTCTCTAGATACATACTAGCTTTTTCTATTGTTTTTTTTTTCTATTTTCTCGTAACACATGAGTTCTAGTACTGAGTTTAAACATTCTGTAACAATTTAGTTACTTATTTATTTTATATTTATTATACTCATTCATTAAACTGTTAAACACCGCGAGGACACCGGTGACCGCAACATTGTTCTTTAATTGTGTCTATAATGACGGTACTCAAAGAGTTAATTACTCTTCTTTTTCTGGGTATATATATAGACATACTAAATATTGTGCAAACCTTTATTTAATTTATTTTATTGTTTGTTTCAGATCCGAGCACGTATTTAAAAGTTTCTCCGAAGTAATTCGACATGCGATATAATATTTAGAATAATTAAGCAATTTTAGACCAAATATTTTTACAATATTACTTGTTTCTGTAAGATTTAAAAACAATCATGTTTTTATACAAATAGTTTATCACAATGGCGTCCGATCCGAACATAATTAAGAGATGTCTATTTCGATGATTACACCAAAGAAATAAAAATATATATTGTGGTGGGTGGAGGTGTGGTAGGCCATATTATATAACTGTATTATACAGGACGGTGCTGAGAATAAGCGCTGTGGACTCGAGCCTTGCGCTGCGATGCACCATGACCTTCTTTATGTGTCTTCTTGCATTGTAATCTGCATGCATGTCGAGGCGTAATAAACGGGTTCTCTTTCTTTCTTTTACCTATATATGTGATACAAAAACTTTTATGACATCAATATTGCATTGTCCATTAGTCTGTTCGTGTCCCTTCGTCCAGCATACTCACCATGGAATCCTGATATTTCATGAATGTCAAAAAACTGTTCTGAAATAGTGCTAAATAGTGCCCAAAGGAAAAAAATAGTGCTCTTGTACTTGCGAAGTTATAGCCATAGTTCGATGAGTATGCTGGACGAAGGTTTCGCCCAGCATACTCACCTCCGTCCGGAGAATCTGTATACGCTTCAAACATAATTCATACTTCAAAAAATAGTTCCCAAATAGTGCCAAACGGTGCCCAAAAAGAAAAAACAGTGCTTGAATAACTTCGGAGTTATAGGCTTCGTTCAGTGAGTATGCTGGGCGTAGGTTCTACGCCCAGCATACTCACCTCAGTGCGCGAATATCGAACGAGCTATAGGTACAATTTACGTCTCAAAAAATTGTGCTTGAAATAGTGCCCAATATCAGTCCAATTTTTGCTTGACTTTTGAC